AAATTGTATTACCGTCTTAAACCATCGCTAAAATTTGTTCTCTAGTTGAATGCATGCTTTATATATTCTTATAAGAGAATGTGGGAAAAAAGTAAATTTAATAGTTTCAAAGAAGAAAACCTCTACTACATCCTTAAGGCATCTTTGGGCAACTTGTTCCGTCGTTCATATAAAAGATTTACAGGTGAACCGTCAGAACTTTCAGTCCCTCTCGCCTACTGTACTCAATCAGTTAACAAGACGTGTAATTGACACAGTGGGTTTAATTTATTGAACACAATTTTGACATCAAAATTGATTAAAGGAAATGTGGAATGAGCGTTGACGATGATGGTTGGCATAGTAACGTACATTTATAACCCAAACAGTCGCACATGAGTCGCGTTTCCTGTAGTTTTTTGTATTTTTCAAGTCTCGGTCGGAAGTTGCTGTCAACACAATCCTCCTCATACTGTCTTACAGTAAAGAGTGTTAATTTGATTAAGTTTTAAAAATAAACTTGTCACATGCGTCGCTATGGATACATATCATAGCGATTTTTGTTACTCAAATAAGTGATGAATTAATACTTTCTACGTCTGTGGATATAGTAACGTATATATCCCACTACTCCCAAGTAAGGTTCATGTCTCAGTATGTTACTTATTTTATTCCAAAAAATGGCTGTCTAATTTTTCGTTCTGTTGTCTTGATGGATTTTAGTCATATTTTTCAAAAACATTTGCCAAGACATCAGAGCAAAATGCATAACATGCACAGTTTTTAGTTTTTATAGTGGTTTAAGATGTAGCAATTTTACAAGCTTGTCGAATTTCTGGCTAAGAGAGGGAGTTGGTGGTAGTGGTGTGTGTGTCGATGACGCCACTGTAGTACTTTTTATGGGTAACCGGTAACGTGGGCGTCGAAGGCATACTATGGGCACGGCTCGGCCATAACCCGCGCCCCCATAAATCCGCCCCTGGATGGAATCTCTCGGACTTTGTCAGTGAGTGGAGTTCCGTAATATAACATTCTATCGTACGCAAGCGAAGATTGTTTACACATTTCAGATAAATTGCGCCAACTAGCGACAGAGTACGTATATGGTGAAAGTATTACGATCGGCATTGAACATCTTTTTTTTTTGGGGGGGGGGGATTACTATATTCTAAATAACGAACAACTGCGCAACCAATCAGAGTCCATTGCTTCCATGCTGACTTCATAGAAGCACGCAATATTCAGTCTTCTGAATGTACAGTACATTTGGTATTGTAAATATGTGCCACGATACTGTGATTTAAAAATGTGGTCGCCTGGCGGCGCTCTAAGCACTATGTTTTATACTAATTTTATTGATAATATCATGCGGCACACCGGTTAATATCAAAAGTGTAAATTTTCGTCACACAATATAAAAAGGGTCCAATTCAAGGCACATATAATGTAATAATTTCCGATCAAATCAAAGCAAAAAATACAATTTACGCATGACAGTTTTTGAATAACGTCAGTTTCCCCAAACACTGTTTATTCAAGTATAACACACAAATGACCAATACATTATCCGCATTTTTATACATCATTTTAATCTTACGACTGTCAATTCTCAGGTAACGAAAATGATTTAAAATATATCATATCATAACAGATTTGTCCCTTGCCTAAGACGCTAAAAAGTATAGTTAAATGACGCGTATTTTTCTTTAATTTAAAAAAACAACAGAAAAGCAAGTCGTGAATGTTCATTTTAGCCAAAAACTAATCAGGTTTGCGCATTACTCCAGATAATCTATGTACCATGTTTCCTTAAAATCTGTTGAATGGTACTTGAGTAACAAGTAAAAATGCTTAAAATGTAATAATAATAATAATTAAGAGTTTGTATAGCGCATAATATCCATCATATGATGCCCAATGACGATGTCAGTTCACAGAAATGCTCGCTGAAACATATAAGTTTTGAGTTTAGATTTGAAAATTTGTAAACTGGCTGCAGAACGAATGTCTGTTGGTAGCTGATTCCATAACGACGGAGAAGCATGTGAGAATGAGCGATCGCTATATGTCTTGAGGTTCTGGGCACTGTAAGTGTAGATGTATTACTTGAACGAAGAGTTCTATCAGGTTGACGGAGTTGAATCAGGTCCGATATGTAGGTTGGTGTTAATCCATGAAGTGCCTTGAATGTGAGTAGTAGGATCTTGAATTGAATTCTGTAAATACCTTGGAGCCAATGCGCTAATCAATATGCAAATTAGATTATTAATATGCCAATATGTTTTAACCAAAACTAATCAGGTCTGTGCATAGTACTGGAACATATATGTACCAAATTTCATTGAAATGTAAAGATTAGTACTTGGTATATGAGCGAAAAAGCCGAAAATTTGCAAATTAAGTAATTAATATGTATGGATATTAACCCAGAAGTAATCAGGTCTGTGCATTGTCCTATGAAATCTGTGTACCAAGTTCTCTTGTAATGTGATGATAAGTACATAAAATATCAGTGGAAAAGCCGAAAATTGACTAGTCATTATGCAAATTATGTAATTAATATGCATGGATATTACCGGTAACCCAAAAGTTGTCAGATCTCTGCATTGTCTTATGACATCTATGTATCAAGTTTCATTGTAATGTGATAATCAGTACTTGAGATATCAGTAGAAAAGCCGAACATTTATTAATTATGCAAATTAGGTAATTAAATATGCATGAATATCAACCAAACATATCATGTCTGTATATTGTCCCATGGAATATATGTACCAAGTTTCATTGTAATGTGATAATTAGTACTTGAGATATCAGTAGAAAAGTCGAAAATCATGATTGACTAGTCATTATGCAATTTTTTTAGTGGAGCTGTCATGTAACAACTAATTATCATGAAAATTAGGTAATTAATATGCATGGATTTAAACCAAAACGGCATTAGTTCCATTAAAAACCATCATATGGTTCTTGAGATATCAGTTCTCCACACACGGGAGTCAAAACTAATCATATTTGTATAGTTTCATGTTTGTATGAAATGCATAACATTATATAGGTTAATAATAATGTTGTGTTTCTGTAGATTTCATCGCTTAATGTGTTTCATGTCACGCACATGTTCTCAGACTTGAACAAATTTGCAACTTTGCAACATGTTTTATGTTTATTGTTTATTAAGAACACCTCTGGGAATTGAAAATCTAAATATTCAAAACTCCAATACAAATAATGAACAAACAGCAAAACGAAACCAGGGTCGTTATCCTGACAACTAGTTCAATTTGCCGTATGCACTAGAATCGATATTCAATATTGAAAATCAAAAACAATAACAAAAACAATAACAAAAACAATAACAAAAACAATAAGATTTGTACACACAGAGGAAGGTGTGTCGATATTAACATACAATCTATTTGTACTAAAAATGACGTCACCATCTATATATATATATACATATAACCTAGTTTATACAATGCCCGATTCAGTAAATAACATTTCTGTAAATAATTGCACATATTCAATTCATTTCAATTTGATTGAAAGACTAGCAAGTACTAGCTGTTACTACGGAGTGATCATAAATCAATCATTATGATATTATTTTTTGATACAATTGTTAATTCTAGTGACAACCTTATCCCGCCTTCTCCACTCTAACAAACACAGGATTGGCTAACCCCTCTAACTTGTAAATCCCGCCAAACTGTCCAAAGCTTCCTTTGTCTCCTTGGTGTGCTCGTGTTCTTCACCCAGGAACGACTCATAAATAGTGACAGCTTCGTTTAGTTGGTACTTAGCGCGTGAGAAATAGTTTGTAGCAAAGTAGAATGCTCCAAGATTATACCTGTAAAATACACGAATGTCATGGAATTGATGATCGATCGGAAATTCCTGAAAATTACCAATTGTCTGCCAGGCTAACACCGATTACGCAATTTTTCCCTTCCAAATGCAAATTCAACATTAAAAACAACATTTCCAAAAAAAAAAGTATCAAATAGACTGAAAATTGAATAAAATAAGTCTCTTTTCTTCATATTAACCAAAATAAAACACACTCGTGCACGATATATACTTACTTATAACACACGTTAAAATAAACAATAGATTCCTATAGTACATTTATAAACGCTTTATAAGATTGACACGCTGTGAAAACGATTGCGCACACAGAAGTCAGAATAACAAAACAAAAAAACGAATGACTATATTATTTCTGTCGCGCCGTGGCGCTTATTAAAACAATATCAACTTTTAGTGATACTTCTACTTACCTAACATGTGCAACATCGACATGAGCAGACCCATACGTTTCAAGCAGTATGGCTAAGGCAGTCTCGTACAAAGTTCCAGCAATTTTATCGTTCTTATCATCGTAGACCAGCGCGATGCTGTTTATGATAGCCGCTGAACGAGGATGATTTGTGCCCACGTGACTGCGCGTCAGCTTCAAATCCTGAAGGTAAAAGCCGAGTGCTTCATCTAGTCTCCCTTGTTTGTAGCATAGTTGGCCAATCTAAGAAGGTAACGGAATGCACGTGAAATTATTTTATGTAAATTGCGTACTAGTATTTAAAAACTACTGATACATTATATTCCGTACACAATCTCATTGTCGTAACTATGACCTTTTTACGGCATCTAACAGGAACCACGGGAAAGCCATAGTTGCTGTATTTCTACGTCTCACAAATGAACTAATTAGTACCCCCTTACGTTTGAAGTAACCGTTTTGACACATGAATAGAACTTCTAAGTTAAATATTTGTCATCGATGCGGTTAAAAAAGGTTTTTAAGCACTTATTAATGGAATATGTTTATTGACTATAAGGGTTCATGATGATGATGTTCACTCATGAATATTGAAATATAGATGCAAACATCTTACTGATCTGGACGGGGGGGGGGGGTGTCAAAAAAGTATTTGGCATAGAGCGCCATCATTCGTTCATTGATGATCTATCAGAACTCATGATGGGGACCCATAAACCATATGACATTTCTTCATTTCAAATTAACTAATCACTAATAAAACGGTGGTTGAAACTTGTCCCTTCGGGAACGAGTGAGGCACATAGTCCCATAAGCCATGGTAAGGATCTAACTATTTATTGAAGATTAGAACAAAGGTTACGGCTAAATAGTGCGTAACTTTAATAGTCATTATGAAGGGTTGTAGCTACGTCACGCAATGATCTACAAGCACACATACCTGTCCTATTATGGCAGCGACATATTGATGTGTAGGAGTCAGTGCATCAACAGCGACCTCCTTGGCACGAAGAAAAACTCTTTTAGCCTCCGCCGGGTCACCTTGCAACAGTAAAACAGACCTACAGTAGAAAAACAAATTCTGTTTAAAAATGATAACTATATTGTAAGTATAAATTTGTATGGAGTATAAAAAGTACACAGTGGTGGTGGCACGGGGGGGGGGGTTCGCCTCCTCGAATAATGTTAGGGTCGCCCCTCCAAAATCAAGCTGAAACCATTTTTGTCAGCATAATTTGCCCCTCAAAATGTAGAAAATTTCAGAGGGTCTAGAATTAAAAAAATTCAAGGGGGAGCATGCCCCCGGACCCCCTAGTAAGGTCACACCTAAGGCGCGGGGT